TCTCAAGATGACAGGCGTAGTGGCAGTGTTCCTCAGATCATTGCGATTTAAAGCTCTGAGTGGCACTGCAACTGTTATGGACAGGCGTGTAGCTTTCCATCAGACAATTGATATTATAAAAACAAACTTCCACCGTTCATCCGGTGAAACAAAGGCATAAAAGTAACGTTCACAATTTTCCAGGACGGAATAAAAAGTATGCAAATTAACCATTTCAATTTTGTTCCAATGTTATGGCGACCCGATATGTACAGTTGTGGTTTTAAAAAGGATAACAATGCTTGTTATATTTAACATGATACATTGACGATGAGCTTAATTAAGCTTATCTAATCATGTATATCTACTAGTACTATGTTATATACACGTCCATTGACTGACATTTAAATTGCATCAAAGTATACCATAACTCAAGCAAAAGTATTGATCGAATACGCCGAATTTTTTTAAACTTATTTGAACTCTGAAGTAAAGACTGATTAATAATCTTAAAAAAGTGTAAAAGTGTATACATAATATGTATATACTCATCTTAAATAAGGGATTAAGCAGCTATATTAAATAGAAACCTGCATTCTCTTAGTAGCAACAACGTTACCCAAAATTTTGTCGGACACGTTTGAAAGGGAACAAAAATTTAATCCGGAATGACGTCCTCATTTTGTTGGGAAAAAACGTCATTGTCGTCGTTCCCGTGTCGCCGTAATTATCCGACCCAATTTGTAGCGCTGGGCTGCCGGTTACGACGCTAGATGAAGAAGGACCTCTTAATTCGGTCGGCTTTTTTTGTTTTCGTGTGACTGACACCTCAGTTAATTCTGAGCATTTTATAGACGTTACAAAAGATTGTTTTAGTTAACTTGGCTATTAGAGGGGGACAAGTTTTTGGATATTTTGTAGTCTTCTGAGTATATTTAGAATCTGAAGAGATAATATATCTATGTTACAGTTAAGTAAAACGTAAGTTTGTTCAAAATGTTTAGTTGATAACTATATAAAAAGTAACGGGACAAATAAGTCTTGCACCTTGGTGGTAAGTATAATAATAATAATAATAACGCACACACTCAACATAGCCCCGCACTAGGGAAAACCCTGTGTCGCGGGTGCCATGGACACACACATAGAAAACCACAAATTACACCCAAACTCACGAGAGAAATAAATGTAGGCCATACAAATATTTCTCCAGACCCGGGAATCGAACCTGGGACCTCTGCGTGGCAGTCAGGCGTGGTAACCGTTCGGCCACGGAGGCAGTTTACGTCTACATTTACGTCTACAACAATGGTTGTGGCGTTGCAGTGCCACTTAGAGCTTTAAATTGAAAAGATCGGACAAGTCTCATGTGCACTAATTAAACCAGCACTCTTGCTCTTCAAAACTTGAACGCAGTTTTGCTCACATTAATGCTTGGCGGCAGAAAAAACTAGTACAGACAACAGTGTTTGAAGACCCCGTTATTCAATCAATGTATACTGTCCATGACTTACAAATTTCGAGACATGAAAGAAGAAGTTGGATGTATATGGAACGAAAGTTGCGCTGAGCCATGGAGCGCGACATCAAAGTCATTGACCGAGTTCCACATTCTGAAATTCAAGATGAACTATGTTCCAAGACATAGGATACTGATATCCTCATCTGATGATTTGGGCAGGCCTGAGCAGGTTGATGAATGGTGACAGGTGTAAGGTGACTTTTACCTATCAGTAGTTCGAAATGACATTTTCCAGAAATAACGTTTGGTCGAAATTTCATGACCTCGAAAGTAATTTTGAGATGAAAATCTTTTTTCTTTTAAACCTAACTTAACCTAACCCAATAGAACATAATCGTGTCTTTGCGATAAATATTCAACATATCCTGAAAGAACAACTGTTTCGTTATAATTCGGTTTTCACACAAACGTTACAAACAAACAAACGTTATTTCGGACAAAAAATTTTTAGTTACCTAGGGGGACAACCGAATTGTAACCAAGAAGCAGATATGCTGTGTTTACACAGGATCGACTGCCGCTTTCGATAGATTAGTTCACCTCGCCGAAGTACCTAAGTACAGTCGCCGCGCTGTTTAAGCTTACGCACAGAGACACAATAAATCATCATCAGCGTTTAATATAATATAATATAATAATATTTATTCACCAAGTGACATCACGCAACATTTAGCATGTCAAGGTATAATTTTTGGATCTTTTAAAAATCTCCATAACTTAACCTCTAAAAGTCACTTAATTGTCTAAATTAAACAATATCTATGTCAAACTAATCTACTTACAATTTAGTGTTTAAATACAATTCAAAGCATCCTTTATCAAGCAAGCACTTTTTGAATTTAAAAAAGAAGTACGTGTATAATATCAATTCTGTCTGACACTTAATATTGGAAATCAAGATCAAGAAAACAATTCAAAATACTCATTAATTGTACAAAGCGGATTTTTTATTAACAACGACTTCATAATTTTGATAAATTCTTTATCTGGTAACTCAGTTACCGAGAGTGGCAGCTTACTGTATAATTTTAATTTGAGACCGCACCCCTGTTTTTGGGCTTTTGTCAATCTAACCTTTGGTATCACTAATTTGTTTTTGTTTCTGGTGTTATTTGTATGTATGTCTCTTAATTGCTTCAGATTATGTTTCTCTTTAAGAACTTCTATTAAGCAATTATAAACAAATATAGATATTTCTGTCATTATGTTTAGTTTCATGAAACATTTTTTCGCCGATTTTCTTTTATCGATACCACAAATTATTCTAATTATTTTTTGAAGTAACAGGACTCGTTTAATATTTGAGCCATTGCCCAAGATTGAGAGCGCATAATTTATCACCGAATGTATGTACGCATAATAAACAGTAATTGGCGTTCTCTTATCAACCAATGGTTTAAGTAGAGTAAGTTTAAGAAGAGCATAATTCCCCCTGGCAATTTTGTTGTAAACATTTTCTGTGTGGTTTTGATGACTTGATTATGTTTACGTTTTACATTACGCTTTACGGTTACGTTTGACGTATTATCAATAGTGTATCCAAGAAACTTAGCGTCCATTTTTGTTCCTGGTTAATAAATTGATTGGGTAGGTAGCAGTGGCGGCGCGTTCATGTAACTCTATTCCCACCGCCTTGCCTAAAATTTTCTAAGAATTATTATATAGTTATACACTATTATGTAGTATTATAAATATTTAAAAGTAATTTTCAACATTTTGCGCACAATTTTACGTGTAGAATAATTAACCAGTGATATAAAGTGCACTGGTATCTTGTGTGCTAATAATAGCTATGTTCAATCGTCAAGGCGCTTATAGCAAGTGTTTTTGTTTTGCTCTGGCTTTACTAAAGACAATTTTTCACGCCTCGCCTCTGGTATTCTACACATGCGCGTGAACGTATGAAACGCAGCCACCGATACGTTGAAACGTCGCCGTTGTTGAAACTAAGTCGCCCGGCAGTGATTACACCTAGTTAAGTCGGTCGACTACGGCAGCGAACTACTGTCGTCATGTAAACGCTCCATTACAGAAATGTGAGGACTTGCGGCGAGATGGAGAAATGACGAGTGGCGCAGATGGCTGAGACTAGCCTAAGTTCATGGTGCACAAAATACTGGAGGCTTATCAGAGATTTTTTGTTTGTCACAATTTACAATGTGCTCCATAAAATATCTGTAAGTTGATCCCAATATTATTTTGATATAGTGTAATAATGTTTTTATAAGCCAGGGCTAACTAATTCGTGGCATATTATACGAAAAGTGAAGTGATATAGCGGGGTATTCCCAAGAGTGACGAGTGAATTAAAAGTTTTCAGCTTAACGTTGTAAGGACCGTCACCCGGGCCGTAATAACGCTACGGAATAAAGAAATTTTTGAATTCCCTTTTTAGGCGCTTTACTGGATGTCATTGTTGGTGTAATTTTGTTGCTTTTAACGTTTATGAGACAAAGAGCGTTTTAAAACTGGAATAGACAACGCGTGCTTATTGTTGCATATTTAGTAGCTGTAGAGCTCCTTGTAAAAGGAGTTTGTCGAGGGAAGTTATGCTATTTTACCTGTTTCTGCGGCCAAGAAGTAATGTAAATATGACTGCGTTCCGGTTTTGAAGTTACAGGCACACGGGACTTGTCAACTTGTGTCTCAAGGTAATGGGTGTCTCTCAGATCTTTGCGATTTAAAGCTCTGAGTGGCACTGCAACTGCTATGGACAGGCGAAAGACTTACTACCAGGCAGACGACTTGTTCACCCCCGTCATTTGGTATCTTATAAAAAAAAGGGTTTCCTTAAAAACTGGGGCATATTTGCTAGTGCCTGGGGGTTTTCATCCGACACCCGTACAAAATAATAAAATTACTGTAAAATAAGTTATATTCGACCAAATTAAAAAAAACCCATGATGCGAATGAAGCTTCATACTTTTTTCAAAATTATCTCTTGATTTGGTCGACTCGACAAACATTGTTTCGGACGAATGTCAGACGGAGAACAGTGGTAGACCCCCAGAAGCGTGTAGGTAATTACATTAGTAATTTTAATGTGTAGTAGTAGTTTGTTGGATTTAGGAGGATAAAATAAAACTCAATTAATGCGTTATTCAAGATTTTTATTACTGAAATCAGAATAATTTACATTGTAAAAAATACACATACTCCGATAATCACACTAAGGTTAACATTTTAGCTTTCATTTTTCTCTATTTTACAGCTTTTTTATTTATCTCATTTTAGTTTTACCTAAATACTTTTGACAACTTTGTATATTAAGTATCTGATTTTAACATAAAGAATATTAAAAGTGGTTACAGTTTGAACTAAATGCCGTTATAAACTGATTAAAACTCTTTGAAAATTTATGAACTCTGATTTTTCTGAAGAAAAATCAGTTTGGATTAAACTTCATGATAAAGTTGAAAACATCAGTTATGAAAGACCTAAGCCTAGCTTTTCTTTGGCAATGCTCAAGCAACAGTTCGCTTTCTACAAATTTCATTTTCATTTCATTTCAATAGAATACATAAAATAAAAATCTTGGGATTGGTTTGAGAACGACGTCGTACACTCGAGAACTAGAAAAACTAACTATAGATGCGTTCCACTGCAATTGGTTTCTTATTTCTTAAGTTCTGAAACCAAACTTGACCGTATTATAAATTACGCCTTTCTCAATGCTATACGAATGCAGGAATAAGTTATCTTTGGCGGTTTTGTGTCCTATGTTATTTTGCTGGGGAATAGTAAATACTTTTTATTATATATTTTTTTATTAATGGCTAATTGTACGCTTTATTAGCCTTTGTTTGTCAGAATATTATAAAACTTTCATAAATGTACTTTGTTTCAGAAGTGTTCTTTGTATGTCATTCTCCTAATCAGTGAGCATCAACAAGTATAATATCATTGCTCCTAATTAACTAGAGAGAACTATTTCATCAAATAATGTCGACATAAAATTAACTCTGTCAGTTAAGATCCATTCCCAAGACTAATTAAGAAGACTTAATAGATAATATGGCTGAAATGAAAAGGTAATAGTCACAGAAGGCTTTACCTAGCTAAAAGGTAATCTTATATAGACAGACGTATCTACATTTAAACGTTTATACAATTAATAATACGAAAAATAATACCAGCATCTTTGGATTTTACATCGACTAAAACAATTAACTACACATTTATTGAGTTTCTGTCACGTAATTTAAGTTTCTTATGTACTCGATATGTATTTTGTAGCTATTTATAAAGACAATATTCAAAAAGCCGTTTTTGACACCGTTGTCAATTGACTAGTGTTCATTGCACATAGTATACACGAGTTTATTTGGAAGAAGGTAGTCAAAATTATTAATAACATTTCAATTTTGTATATTTAGCACATTGATCTCTATAATGTCTCCATAGTTTTAGAAATGCAATAAACAACAGTCAATATCAACACATCTCCCAAAGTATTATCAGGGACGAGTAAACTAGTAAATTACAAACATTAAATGAACAACATCTATTCACTATTACAGCACAAGACCACATAATTTGCACAGAAGTGAAAATAAAATTATCTAGGTCAGAGAAATTTATTATTCTATAGAACTTCTGCACGAAAACAAACATAATGTACCGTTTGGATGTTTAATGTATATGATTTTGGATCGAACGTTGATCTTGACAAAGGATGTAATATAAAGGTAAGTGCCACATATCTGCTTATCACTAAGGCTTATAATAACGATAATTGACAAAGAAATGAAAAAAATCCAAGAAGCTCACATAGGTACAGCTGAAATCAACCAAATTCTATTTATTCCAAACATCGACAGTCATCTCTTAATAATTTTTAATTTATACAACATTTTTATTGATTAATTTTTACACACCTCGAATTTACATTCAAACGATTCCAATTAGAAGAGGAAGAAAAAAAACAACGATACCATTGGACGGACAGACACAGATGCTAATAAAAAGGAAAGAGCACATTAAATTTGAAAGAATAATGATCACTTGTAAAGTGACGTCGTTTCCTTACGGATTCAAGAAATAAACCATTCGGCATTCGAGTCGAGAATTACGTTAAATTGTTTTGCCAATCTTCTTGCTGCACTAAAGGAGAGGTACAGTTAGTCGCACACCATCTCGATTGTGCAGTAGGTGGGCAGGGATTACCGCCAGGTCGTTGTCGGCGGATGACTCTTCGTGTTCGTACTGCTGAGCCTACGCAGCCGCCATCGCTTCGGCATAGACTCCATTCACCCCAGTCTGACACCCGGCAGTCAAGTAACCCTGTGACAAAAACGAGGTGGCTTGGGTACAAATAGCGTTTTTGTCCGTAAACCGTGTTTCATACTATACAGATACAACCTAAAATATAATGAAAGTTTTAGGTTTTCTGGATAATACCGTCAATTAAATTTAATACTTTAGCATCTTAATCAGCTTCCTTAGCTCTATGTAAACTAGTTTTCCGATGTAGCTAACTACAACACCTAATGATTTCGTCTAAACATACTTAAATTTTATTAAACTGTATTTTTGGACTTACTTGCTCTTTTTCGTTTCCTCCGCTCAGCCGGGTCAGCATTATCAGCGCGCAGCTTGCGTCGCCGTCTTGCGCGGTACCGCCTTGCGAGGCTACGGAGCGCTGATCTCTGGCTCGCCGTAGGCCCTGATGTTGGCAATTCGTTGGCTGAACGAGGCTCTGCCGTTGTACTAATTGATGTGTTTGCACTGAGACAAGATGATTACAATCAAGACATGTATCAATATTTAACAGTTTAGAAGTACATAATGTTAGCTTGTAGTTAGAGAGATGCAGCACGGATTCTAAACGATATCTGTTTCATATAAATCTATAATATCTATCATTAAGAAATCGGGAGCACTTCCATTCCTTGTACTGCAAAACATTATGGCGCCCAAAACAAATACAATTTTGTATAAAATTTTGTATAACGTAAGTAAAGTACGTAAATTTAAAAAAAAAATCGAAGAAAGAAATTAACTTACATAGAATAGTAAGAATATGAAACATTAGGTGTAGTCAAAGTGCCTTCGGCGTATATCCTCGGTGCCTGTTCAGCTCGTTCCACTTCCTCTGCGATGGACAACGCCCTGTTGCCATCAAGGACATCGATATTATTGTGACTAAGTTTGTCCAATTGGAGTACATCGTATCGTTGGTCGTCACTGCTCCGGTGAAATACTTCTGTGACCTCGTATTCTCGTAGCTGTTAAAATATGGAAATATTACTTTCCTTGTACGATTTAAAATTTCTTGAAGTACTGGACCAGATTTAGAAAATTAGGTCAAGCAGGTTTCAAATAATCAAAACTATCAAAAATAATGGATGTATAGACAACAGTTTCTTTATGTTCAGTCTCTATCTCGAAATGATAAATGGCTAGTAAAAGAAAAAATTGGTGCTTTGCGAAAAGTGGACAAATCCCTGAGAAACTGCTGTCATGCAACGTTATTGTCACTGACCTTGATAAACTGGAAGGTCGCAATCGGTGGCAATCTCCTGAGATGTGGATAGAGGAAAGATCCAGCAGGATGTGACGGGTACTTCGAGGTGATGCGATAGGCCACTCCTTGGGGAGCAGTCGGCCAGTTTGGCGCTGTGAATGTGAACCCGTTGTCTGTTCCCGCATCGAGAGGATCCACCTGGGAATGTTATAATCAAGTTGGTGCTCGGCCATCGATCGGTTTGGGGTTATTTCTGTCTTTGTTATCTTTGTGGCTTGGGACTGTGTTGCTACTTACAGCTGTTATCGAAGACTGTGCAAACAGCATCTCGAATTTCGCTTTACGTACCCATTCTAAAGGATTGTCTGAAATTGATTTCGTTTAACTGAAATTGTATATCTGATCTTAACGCTATTGTGAAATCTAATAACTGGAGTATGGGAGATGAGTGGACGTAACTATTAAAAAGAAATTAAATGGCCTGTTGGGAAGTAATTTTCAGGCGGCTGCCGTTTCGGGCAAGACTATGTTATGAGTGAGAGAGGTTAGGTTTTTGCGTTTGTAGAAAATTTTTGTTTGTGATTGTGATTTATGTACCGTCTGTGAAACCTAACTTTATTCACTAAAACGGATAAAAGTTTTGTTTGCTGATGACATTTTCCAAAACATAGTCGAATTTGTATTTATTGTTTTATGTGGCAGCTATATTTAATTTATTAATTTCAAAATATGGTTAACTATTTAAGTTGATATATCGTACTAACGGACATCCTACGGGTGATTAGAATTTCATCCAAGTCCAATCGGTACATCTGATATTATCTGTTTATAAATCACACAAATAAAAACTGATAATGTGGTAGTTGCCTTTGGTATCGTAATTACCATTACAGTCTATGTTATTTCAGGTAGTTTCTCTCATAAAACTGCACAAACAAAAGCTGATCTATTAGAAACATCGCGCTGATTGAATTAGTATAGCCATTTTGGTATCTAAATAGCCTGCCTTATTACTATTAAAGTCTATGCGATTTCAGTAGGTTTTGTTATTATATTATGTCTAATAGACCAGATATTTAAGATTTTGCAGAAATAAAAGCTCATTAGATACGTCGCCTTGAGTTAAATAGTCTTTGTAAATTCGCTTCCAGGACATATTAACTTGTAAATTTATTGATGAATTTTTTTGAAATATGTTAATAATTTTAGTTTGTCGCCAGTTAAAGGTACTGCGACATGACTTCATGGCCGCGGTAGCTTAATGGCCTAATAATAACCTACGAGACCGTGTCGTGGATTCGAATCCGGGCCTCAAACCTCTACGTTTCTTGAAATTTATTTGCGAAATTTAATTTGAAATTTACCTTGATCGTTTTGGTGAAGGAGAACATCGTGATGAAACCTGCACGTCGAAGAAGGTTCACAACCCTCGGAAAAGTGTGAAATCCCCAACCTGGACTAGGTCAGCGTAGCGGACTATAGCCTAACCAATAAACCCTCGCCGGAGACCCGCTCCCAGCAGTGGGATGTATAAATGGGTTGAAGATGGATGCATGGATATGACTTATTCTTTATCCCGACAATTTAACAATAATCGTTGCAATATACTCATGATCATAGGTTGACTCATTCACCTTGGAGCGTGTAGCTGCTCCGAGAAATCGGGATGAAAAAATTGAGTTTTTAGGTTTTTGCGAAGTTACACATTAAAAATGAAACTATTTCTCAGATCTAGATCGCCATTAATTTACCATCTCAGTTTGTGACCACGAGATCTATAAAGGACGTTGGTTTTTTGAAAAACAAATATATGCTATTTGGATCCGAAAAACAGTTTCATTTCCATTAACAAGAATGCGTTGCCTTAGCGTAAAGAAACAAAAGATTTGGATCAACGAATTTATTTACAAGTAGAAACGCAAAGGCTGTAACAATAAAATAATAAAATGATATAAAAAAGTACAAATAGTACAAAACACTTCCTACTTAACAGCCCAGACAATCACCTCAAATTTAAAAACAGTAAATTACGTAAAGTTTGAGTTTTACATGAGGAAGAGCACGTCTCTTTTGAGAAGTATGATGGAAGCGATGACGTAACGAACCATCGTAAGACTAGTGGAAGCAAAAGGAGTTCGAGAAACATTTAAAATTTTAAAAGTAAGTGGCCAGGGACCTGTAAAGAAGGTGAGGTAAAAAGGTGAAATAACGATGAAGGAGGATAACATCCTGACAAAGTTATACCGTGGTAACAAACCTGAAACTAGTCTTCGTCTTGCTGTAACTAATGATAATAAGCAGCTAGTCTAAAACCAAGAAAGTCCTAAAATCTAATTATAGGCGAATAATTGTAAGTAGTAATATTCTAGTTGTGATAACAATATAGGAGATCTTAAGTTTGATTATCACATTGTTATGTCAGTTTTCTACAATTGAATTTTTTGAAAGTTATTGACATTTTAACAATTACGGAAAATATCGTAATGATATTTATATGTAGGAGAAGATTTGCAAAATTTTAATGGCCGTGCTGTGAAATGTATGATGGAATAATAGTGATGATGATTGAAGCTTGCAGATATGCTTACCTCAATAGTGATGCTATCGAGCCAATTTCCATCAACGCAGAGATCGAAGCTATCGATCCCAATGAACCAATCCGGAGATGGTATCATCCGCGCCATTACTGATACCTGTGAAAAAAAGTAAAAATATTAAAAAAATACAGTCTACTTCAAAATGGTACTTTTCTACCGACTACTTCAGAAAATAAAAGTGTCACCCATTAGGTTCATAAATAAACAAACTTTAAAAAAAATCAATCACTCAAATCAAATCAATCAAAAAACTTCAAAAACCACAAACAGTCACTACACTAAAAAGTGAAAAATAATAAGATAGAGATTTAATCCAAACAACCACGTAATATTTTTATTTATTTTTATCTTATGCCGTTTTGTACGCAGTATTATAATATATTATTAATCAATCTAACTACAATTATGGTTTATTTATACAATTACAACGTGACAATTTTTGTCCTTATTATCTATAACTTTAATAAAATATTGTTATTGTAGAAATGAGATGCTATGCGCAATATGTGCGGTATTAATCTTAAAGATAGAATGCTGAACAGTAAATGTAGAACGAAAGATGATGTAGGGACCAGGATAGAGAGAGGGATGCTTCGATCGTTTGGTCATGTAGAAAGAATGAATGTTGGTAGATTGACGGCACAAATTTATAGAACGAATGTAGATGGAAGCATTGGGAGAGGTAGAACTCGTCGAATATATCTCAGACAGGTTGAGGATGTCCTTAAAAAAGGCCGGGTTAAAAGTACCAAGAATAAACGGAGGAAACGGAAGTAACAAGAATAAATGTATGAAGAAATTGATGGGAGTGGAAGAGGCGAAGGAGGTTTGTCAGGACCGTGGTAAGTGGAGGTCCATAGTCTCTGCCTACCCCGGTGGGAGACAGGCATGACGATATGTATTGCTATTTGTACGTGTTACCTACTGATCGGTTTAACGTTTTACTTCATTACTAAAAAAATATTGATACTCAAATATTTACAATATCTAATTAGTTATTTTTGGGGTCGGTGTCAGCCAAGGAAAGAAAATAAAGAAACACTTTAATGGATTCTAATGCTGTACAGTAAGTTTGTAAAATTGTCATGACTGACATGAAGGCACTGATTCCAAAACTAATTAGATATTGTTAATATACAATGTGTTTTTTTTGCATTCTCATCATATTTACAGAGGTCATTAAATCTGAAAACCCAAACCACTAAAAAAATAAATCGAAAAAAAAAATTTGGTAAATTTTTTATTCTATTTTTTATTTGATTGCAGTTTCAAAGAAATAAATTTAATCCAAAGGTCATTGACTTGCACAAAATATTTTGAACAATGACTTCAAATGCGCAGAAAGAAACGCATTTTAGATCTATTTGGTGGTGGGGTGCGACGGCAGGGAAATATCGTATCGAGCGAGCGATTGGTAGATCAGTCGACCTTGCTTCCCGTACTGCGTCTACGTCACGCTGACATCCCACAAAATTCTATTCTAGTCTGTCACGAAATGCGACGTGGTGGTGGTTTGGTATGTAAACAAGAATTAGTAGTGCAAAAAAAGAACCGTTACTAGGTTCAGCAGACCCTGAGTGGTAATCCATGAAGTACAAGTGCAAGGCTATTCTTAAGGCATAATGTGAAACTTTAGGTTTACGCGGAGGATCCGAGTGTCGAATTTTCTGCTTTCAACGTTGTGGAGTCTAATGTTGAAACGAAACTCACGTGCAAATCTCTGCATAGATTTGCTTTGAAGCTAGGTACTTCTAGCAATACTTTCATGTAATCTAAAGTTGGTAAGTACCAAACTAAGTTACAATAAATTTTTTTTAGTAAATTTTTCTAATTAATGTAAATAAATAGTAAATTATAACAATACTAGTATATAATCATAATTTTAAAAATAGGTAAATAAGCGATCGAGAAAGATTTGAAGCGGGTGGCGGGGTCACTGCCCTTGCGTGGTGCACACAACTTCGAGACAATTTTGCAAATCTTTACTAGATACAATTAGCCAGAATATTGAACAGAATAATTGTTATAATTATTAATCGAACACTCAGAAAAAACACGCAGAAAAAATTCCTTCGATCCGGTCGGATTCGAACCGACGTCTTCTTGCATACCGTGCCAGACGCTATATCAACTAAGCCACGGAACGAACCAACGGACCTCACGAATTTTTCTATGTGCTTGCGTCGTGTCTTTGTACTTGGTTTTTCAACGACTTTTTAGTCGTAGCGCCATCTATGAGAAATCTTTGACAGCTTTATCACCCAGTTAGTACCTTTACAGCTACCAGTCCTGGCGAGAGATGTCACTATTCACTGTATTCATTAAATTTTTATTGAATTGATATTCAATTATTTTTTGTGAAATTACTCCACTAGAATCCGACCGGATCGAAGGAATTTTTTCTGAGTGTTTTTTCTGAGTGTTCGATCTTTA